GGAGTAGGCCCACAGACTACTGCTTTACTGCTGCACTTCAGGATCTTCTCTGAAAAGCAACAATGACCCAAAGCCATCAACTTCCCCAAGCAGTTCAAGACGCAGGAAAACTACTTTGAACTTGGTTGTATGTTGCAAGAAATCATTTGTGAGATGAATTACTTGAAATTTGGCAATTTGTGCTCATCCAAACACACAAACGTGATTGCTGACGTGAAAACAGCTGCAGTTCTCCGAAGGCAAAGCAGTACTGTGTTTGGGCTGCAGCAGGTGGAGCCAAGGGTCACAGTGCTCACAGGTAACTCATCTGATGGAGTTTCTCAGCAGAGTCTGCAGCAGGCAGGGACAGAGCAATGTGAGCGAAACCACACCTGCCCAAGCAAGCAGGACAGTGTGAGTTACCAAAAATGCCTATTTCTTACCTGTGGTCTTTTGGACAAACATAGTCAACCCATGACATCAGACAAAGCTTCTTTTAAGAACATTCATGTAAAAATGAGGTCTTGGGTGGTCATTTATTGTTCAAGTAGCTGTTTATATATTTATTATAATTATACACAACCTTGACAATCTATATCGCCATTCAAAAATAAATTGAAGTATTGTCAATTTGCACATGATCTGTCACTAAGAAGAATCCCATTTACATACATAGTAAACATTTTGCATACTTAAAACACTGCTTTCAATTCTAACACTCCCACCTCTTCCCTCCCCCCCATCCTATGGAGATACGTTTAGACTATGTAAACGAACTTTTCCAACGATGCAACATTCAGGGACTACCACCTTTGTTAATTAATTTAATCAAACCATTTCAGCACTTTGTAGAGGTGGCCGGTGGGTATAACTCTTAATTGCATTTTTGTTTAAAATGATTCATCAATCACCTTACAGTGATTCCTGCTTTTCATTACTTGATGTATTTCCTTCTGACCAGGAAGATGGAAAACAGGGTGTAACAACTGTATCAGGTAAGTCATGTGAGCACATTCCTGGTTTAGTATTCTGCAGTGCCAATAGTCACATTTAGTTGTTTTCACTGTTATTTACACATGTAAGAAGTGGTTGAAGTCTTCAGATTTCAACTGTGGAGACTTAAGAATTCAGCTAAGAATCAGCTACCACACACTTGCTCTAGTGAGCTAAGAGTTTGTATTTATAATCCAGATGTTATCTTGGGAGGCAAAATGACAATTTACAAGGCATTAACTACCTTTTGTTAAGCAACATGTTTTTCACTACCTCTTCTGACAGCTTCTCTCTTCTGGTGCCTGAAAGGGGAGAAAAAACCTAGCATAACAAAAAAAGTGTAAGAGGCAACATAATATTCTTCCACCCAGTTAAAGAGAACTCACAGCTAGTGGTACCTAATGTAAGCATCCTTAGAGCATGCAGACTCTATGCTGACCCACAAATGAAGTCTGGGCATCCAGGCTTCAGAAGTCAGTGTATTAAAGTATTACAGGGTGGTAACACAAAAATGAAAGCCCTGTTCTGAGGAATGAGGTCTACAGGAATTGAATTTAGCTTTTTTTCCTACAGCAGCTGGTTAGGTGCTTTGAACCAGCAAATGCAGCATATTTGAAAAATGGTTTCATGTTTTGAAAGCTAGTGTCAGCTAACTGAGAGGCATGGATAACCATAGCACTGAGAAGCGTAAAGAGTCCAAGAGTTGTTAAGGCTGTAAAGTTCTCACACTACTGTCAAAAATATACTTAGGAAGAAGAGTCTCCTGCCAGCTCCTTGCCCATTTCCTGAAATTACACTTAAATGTCATCCTTACAGGGAAAAATCCCCACTTAAATAGGGAGTATTTGAGAACAGAAGAATCTATAGCAGAGGGTGGAGTTCAGCACACTGAGATGTTTAAAAAAATATTAAGTAATTTCAAATACTGAAGTTACAGTGGAATCTTATAACCCGACAAATTAGATGCTTTAAATTAACAGCTTTCACTTTTAAATGGAAGAACCAAAAGCTTCATACTCCACACCACAGCAGTGGTACCCTCTGGCTGCTCACATGACCTAGACTGCTGTGTTTGCAGCCCCATATGCTTCACAAGTAGCACCACCTAACAGTGTTTCCCCTCCAGTGCTGCCATGCCCAACGTGAGACCAGGGCCTCTTCCCCTCATTCTGCCACTTTCTCTTGTGAAACACCGGTCAGGTGCTTCACCCCAATGGCCTGGAAAACTACAAGTTCTGCAAGCATGCCCCAAAGGCAGCACTGAAACCGTGAGAGAAGGACACTGCCAGAAGCCAACAAGGGAGATTTTTCATTCAAATTCAGACACACATGCAAATTCAGACCAAACAAGGCAGGCAGCTGTACTGGGTTATTTTATCATGTAGCACCCTTGTCTGCTTAAAGGAAGAGTAGTATAAAAGTTTAACTTAAAGGGATTGTTAAAAATCTGTTTGTTACAGCTGAATGTTTGAAGTTCAAAGCAAATCCTGAAGTCTAAATACTGTAATAAAAGATGTGCAAAGGAAGCCATGAATCAGTTGTAGAACAGCTAGTAGTAATTTGTTTAGTAAAACAAATTAGTTTTAAAGCCATTTCTTAAGCAAGTTCATTAATGCTGAAGACAGCAGATAATCAGTCCTCTAAAAGAAAGATGTTATTGGTAAAATAAAAGTATTTTGTAACTGAACTTTTACATCAAGTTATAGACTTTGATTAACAAGACTTTTTTAAAAAAAAAAACCCAAAACTCTACTACCTTCACAGATAGTGTTGCTTCCTGTTTCTTCCTTTTGTCAGATGGAGAGAACATTTTCAAACATTAGAAACGTATCTTGCCCTCAATAGAAACTCTCAAGTTATTAGCAACAAATACCTGCTTTTAAAATATACAAGCTGCAGAGTAGTTGGCTCCCTAACAAAACTTGTTATTTCATGTTGCAAAATACTCATTCTGGTGCTGTCAGGGTAGCTACCGAGAGACTCGCTTGTTGAGTCCGACACACAAAATCTCACCTTCAAGTTGTGCACAGCTTATACAAGTATTTGAGAACCTTAAATCTGTGTCCTGGCAAGATTTCCTCTTTGTAACAGAAAACAGGTTACATATTAACAAGTCACATGTTCCCACGTTAATGTGAAGCTCGCTGTGGAAAGAACAGTTTTGCCCTTCCAAAGGGATTCTTAACGTTTACATCAGCAATGAGTTACTACCAGCCACCTGTGGGTAGCATTCCTCTTACCAGGGATCTAGAGACAGAGCAGATGCACAGCAAAACACTCCTATTCTAGTAAGAAAACCTTACTACAATTGTCTTAACCATATTGGCTTTTATTCCAGCCTTTATGCGTAAGAATTGCCTCTAACATTTGTAATGTAGTATTAAGCATCTGATGACCACAAGGCAGAAGACTTTCTGTTCTTACACATGACCTTTTAGCTATTGGAGAGCTTACACTGGAGATTTCCACTGTTTGAACTCTTCTGCCAAGTATCAGGAAGGCTGCTAGACAAATTAACATGTAGATGGGTTTTAGGAAGCCAATACTTAAGAATGCTACTCACTACACTGCTGTGGTAGAGCCATGAAGATATTCATAATGTTAAAGCCTAGAGGACCAAAACTAGCTCAGTCATGTTCTGACTTAAACTGAGGACAACTGACATACAGTCACCCATCAGGGCCAAAGGTGTGTGACTACAGCGGCACAATTAAAGACTGAGTCGCAGAGTAGCTGCAGCTCTCTTCAAGGTCACTCAGTTTTTGTTCAAGGGCTTTAAATATGTAAACTCAAGGTGCCAGACCATCCACAACTGTTGTGTACAGCAGAAACAGTAGAGCAGAGTATGAGCATGTCAGTCACAAAGATACTATTCTAGCACTTGAGCTAGTTTAGCAGGTTTATATACAGCTGTAAATGATGATTCCTTTCCCTGTGAAGGTATTTGAGAGTATAGTTCATCTCTACCAACTCTAGCTTGGGTCATGGACTACTCTTTGTAGCGTGAACAGCAGTGGAACATGAAGAGCATGGATGGAAATAAAATGGCTGCCAAAGCCACAAACAAGAGCAGGACCTGTCACTTGTTTACAATAGGAACAAGCTTGTACAGGAGAAGTGCTGCAGGAAAGCAGGAT